ACAACAAACAAATCTATGAATATTAACTAATTCACATAAAGGTTAATTAACGGTCGGAATTTTTTTCAGAATTGTTATGATACTGAGAAACTAAGTTTATCAAACTTATACTGAGGACTAGTAACCGTTTATCTTTGATGCAACATTGTAAAGAACTGTTGTGTGTTGGCTACCAGAAAGCATTAAGTAAATCAACTGTTGCTCCGGACAAAAAAAAAATGGCTGATGAACTGGTGGCATCGTGTGGTTTATAAATCAAGCAAGATCAAGACGACAAACAAATAAAGTACCGCAAGGGGCCTATGTTACTTGTGGAACCATTGAATCGTTTCCTTTTCTTTATTGTCTGACATGCACTCCACTAATTTCCCAAGTTTGCTCTTTCATCGAAAATGTTCACCGATTTCGTCTGCATGATGTATTTAGATATATGGCGCAATATATCAAACTTAATGATTCCATTTTCTTAACTACTCGGTATAACAATTAATTTACAATGCTAGCGACGGTCATGTAACCGCTTTTTCAAAGACATCGTAAATATTTCACTGACTTTTTCAACGGCTCGAATATTACCTATTAAATGTGAAAACTGTAAAAAAAAAAAAAAGAAAGAAAGAAGAAAAAACCAATAACACTCTAAATTAGATTATCCATCAAACTTGTATCCTAGTTCGGAAAGTGAACGTCTGTCTCAAGATGTCACCTTTATTCGAGACTGACATGAGGGAAACATGAGAAAACTCACTTGACATTTTCATATGCAAGAATGTAAAATTACAATTCTAATGCAGCTAGCAATTGCTATCTGCATTACCTACAAAGACATCCTTGTATTTTCTTAGGAGATGTTGAATTAAGCTTTATTTCTAAAGATATAAAGCATGACAGTCCAGTTCCCAATATATACACTGTACAGTTTTTGTAAAGGTCAAGACATTTTTTTCTGTCGACAGAAATGTCAGTTGCAGTCTTACGGAGGTTTGAATTAAAGTGTTTTCCATTATACGTTTGCGTACTAAATTGAAACAAAAACTCATAAATTAATAAAACATTAATTGACAGAGGTTTTACTAAGGAAAACTGTCAATCAGAAATGTACAAAATATTTTAAAACCGCTAAACCAATCTATAAAATTTATTTTCAGTTCCTCTGCAGCATGAGTCATGTAAATAATGATGTTTAGTCCGTTTGATGCTTTCATTCATATCAACGTGGATATTTCTTACAATGAAAGTTACAAAAGGACATACAAAATTTTTTTAGTCTAGTGCATTTTAACAAGTTCTATATAGCAACAATTCCTTGACCATCATGATAAGGTAGTAGACTCAAAACGTAGTTTCACTTTCAAAGCATTATCATAAGGTAAAATATGTTTATCAATAATTTTTTATATGCTTTAGCAGGTTATTTAATGTTTATGTTGTACTCTTTTCATGCAATTTATAAATAATCAATCTTTTATGAATCTCAAAGCTGATCTGGCAGCAAACACTCAATGTAAATATCCTTTAACACAATAAAGAAATTTTACATTCAGAATTGATCTTTCCTCCAATACATTTGTAACATTTATCCATGCTTTAAAGGATTTGAATGTTAGTTTCTTTTACATGAAAAGATTTCCTTTCAAAAGTCCAGTTTTGCTGCTAAGCTACTTTTGTGGTTGGTCCTAAATCTTCACAAGAAAAATTATATATTCTAGCATTTGACTTGTAATCATTCTTTCCACAGTCAACACTGGCATACACAAAATATGTTTTAAGCAGTTTTGTGCACGAATGTACTCGGTTTGACTTCATACTGCACATGATGTTACCATGAAATTGTGGATAAGTAATATTCAATAAATTGTTAATATCTGGTATTGCCTTTTTGGCATTCAAGACATGAACTCAATTTCTTTTGCAATAATAAAGCGAAAGTAGAAGAATAAAATTATGCAAAAATCTGTTTTACTTAACATATATTTATAGCACATGAATTATGAATATGCATATGTTTGGTTTAGTTTGGATTCAGCACATTTCGCAAAATAATAGTGTGAAGTTCGCAAGTAGTATCTTGACTATTTCTTAAAAGTTAAATATTTTCTGGTAATACATGTAGTAAGAATTTGTTTTTAATATGTACTATTTTATCTCTTATAGATATAACAGATGTGTATCACGTGCTTTGTTATACAGGTTGTTAACTGACTAAGAAAGGAATTTATTGTTAGGTTTTCTTAAAACAAAATCTACATAGATGCATTATCTTAAAGATGTGGGAATAGAGTAGTTGAAATGCCTGGAACAGAACAAAATTAAAAAAGCATCCAGGGATGCAGAAATATCAATAAATAAGAGTCAAAACATGTATTTGAAGCAACTGAAAACTGATATGTCACCTGGATGCACGACAATCACTGTTGGGATTAATGTGAATCTCACTGGGTGTTTGTTTTTAAAACCAACACTAACTTTGAAGAGGTCTCAGACGGATATGATGTAATGTTCTTGAAGATGATCTCCTTTCTCGACGAGAAACCAATTGTCATTAGCTGAGTTAAACCTGACCACATTTCTATTACGTAAGATACGTTACAAGTCAAATTTACAAACAACCTTTCTCATACGTCAGTATGCCAATAAAGCATAATTCTTTTAAATATAGTGTGGATAGTCCAATAATTCAATATTTATATTGTCAATGTAGTTTTTAAATCCTATCATGTAGAATGTGCCTGTGAACAGGGAGTATTATTAGGTGGAAGATAATCCGAAAGTTTAAAATAACAATCAGTCAAGACTAATAAATAACGTCCAGAACGAATAAAATAAATTAATGGATGGATTAACCAATTGATAAATGTATGCACAAAAATGTATAATGGTTAGATTACCTACACCATCTCTCTAGCCTTAGATTAATTTTTCACAGCAAGCATTTGTTTGGTCTTTAATACAGCTTTGTTAGAAACAAGGCCTTTTTAAGTATTTTATATTATGTCTAAATTATACAGGGGCTGATCAATTTAAACATACATGGTCACCGGGGAAGGCATTCTTAATAAATAATTGTGTGTGTGTGTGTGTGTGTGTGTGTGTGTGTGTGTGTGTGTGTGTGTGTGTGTGTGTGTGCGTGGATAGATGGTAAGGTAAGGGGTGTGGATCTGTTGTTCATACAGTATAGCTTTTCTGTAGCACTTTGTACTATAATGTGCCAGAGATAAAAGTGACCCAATTAGAGCATTGTGAATCGGCACATGTTTATAGTAAACTGCATAATGTCCGCCATTTAGTTATATTCATTGATTCATCCATTTTGTTGTCCTTGCCTGAGACTAGTGTTCAAACTTCTTTACTTTTATCACATCTCCATCGATGATGTATGCCGCGCTCTTCATCCAGATTCACTGAACTATTTTCTACATGACATCTACTGTATAAATTCATTCCATACAAGGGTAATCTCTAGACAAGTTTCCAAAGAAAATAGATATCCATTTTCGCTCAATCAATGTCTCAGTATTTGTTTAAGAAACCATCTCTTTTCCGCTAATGTAAGTTTTCATGCTTTTTGCTGTTAGTGCCAGTCATATCGTTATTTCCAATCTATATTTTTGTTCCATTTCTTAATCTTCATCTTCCTGTATTTAAAATGCCTACTATAAACCGCTTGTAATCTTGATGACCGGGAAAATGGTATTCATGATATCTTTCACCACTTTATGGAGTTCCTAATTTTGTCTGTACGTTATTTCGATTCAAGTTTCTGCTATTTTACGTGATCTACTTTTTGTACTTTTCTGACTCATTTCTTTGTGTTATATTGCTACTTCAGGAAGTTTTAAACTTCTGCCAACTGAACTTGTTGATACTTTCTGAAATATGACAGAAGTTATATAATTGAAAACAAAAATAGTTATAAAAAAGGAATAATATTTTTGTAACACTTTTAAACTTTCGTTATTTACTTGTTTATTTAAAGATAATAGCCCAAAAATAATATTATTAGTGCTAATTATGATTTATTAACCTACAATAAATGTTCATTTGTCACACCAAACGTATGTATGTGTGATGTGTGTGTGATTTACATTTTTAATGGAGATATAACAATTTTGCAGTCATGTCGCTGTGATGTCTGCAGTATAGCCCATTTCATACCGGATTTAACCGAGTTGCTCCGTAATTATCCGAAAAACCTCCCGAGTCGCTTTATACTCAAGCCAATCAAACGCTGGTAGGATCTGTACATAACAAAATGTCATACATTGTTGTTTAGACGTATCAGATTAAAACAAATTAAGAAATGCCCGCTACCTGCCCGCTAAATGCCTGGGACTTCTGCAGATTTACCGTCAAAAAATATTCCAGGTTTGTTATACTGAGGATTAATACGAAAAATTCCTATTATTGGTAAACGAAACTCGATTTATGAAATGCGGTGTTATGGTAAATAAAGGGATTAAATTTTTAACATCGACACTGTTTCCATACTCGCATGTATATGTTCAGATGTAAACAGCTCATAGCTACTCTCTCGTATGGCTATAAAATCCAGAATAGGCATTTTTGAACTCTATAAACGAAGCTGAAGTAGTTGGAACAGTTGATGTTAATGCTGAATTGTCCGCCTTGTTTTGACCACTAGTATGGTCCCCTGCTTAGTATGCTTCCTGTGATGCACTCCACTATACTATACTATACTAGGGAGCATGCTAAGCAGGAAACCAAACTATTTGCCTACCAGCTATCGATTGGATATTGCGGTCAGTTGACCACCCGCCACGTGGTCAAAATTCCAAGCAAATTACGAAGTTCGCCGAAGTCTCCATGAAATGGTCTATGACAGTTTATAGTGGTGTATAGCACTGACGCATCATGACGCAGATATGTAGCATTATATCCCACCCTGTCACATTATCCTGACACCAGGCCGACCAGTCCTAACACTATCCTTTTAATTATGAGCACCTAATGAGGCAGCTGTCCCATTTTTATAAGTGTTTGGTATGATTCGTTTGGGGTTCAAACCCGCGACCTTCCGCATCTGAGGCGGACACTCTAACCACTAGGTCATTTGAGCGGTCCACACAAACCAGTCTTGGGTTTTGAAGGTAACTGGCATATAAATCTGAAATCTCATATACAGGTTCTGATTAACTAAGGAGCTCATTATAAAGCTGAAATAAACTCATAAACTTGCAGTATCGTCATTCATTTTCTTCAATAATCCCTAATTGGCACACATAAGACGTCACATTTGAAATATCTGAGAGATACGGGCCCTAATTAGGAACCTAAAAAGCAATTAATTACCCATCAACGTTGCACGTTATCATCTTTCAAAGCTTTCAAGTTTGGAATGACATCTATAACAATTATGTCATGAAGGAAATGTAGAAAAACAGCAACAGAATTTTGACGTTACAATGCATCCTTCTATATGGATTTCATGTGATATCAATATTTATTGTGGGTTATTTGTTACGTTTTGTAGGATTTATTACAAGTGGAGAAGTAGTATTTGTATGTCTGTTGCTTGTAAGTGGTAATAATAGGTAGCGATAATGTAGGTAGTTTTTAGATGTAGTGAAAATGTAGTTACTATATGTACACAGATAAGGTATATTGTATCGTCAATTCCTTCAGTTACGCTTTTCGGTTACATACGTCATGATGTATATGTGTTTATACGAGAGACAGTAAGAAAAGCGAAAAAACAGGTCTGTATATTTCAGGTGAATCAGAAACATTTTCGCATAGTTCCGCTGATTCGGAACAAAAAGCAATTGAAAGATCTACTGTTTAAATTGCTTAAATTCGGTTGGGATTTATGTTATTACAAAAACTATGTTTATAATTAGGAACAGATAATATTAAAATAGAAAATCACACTAAAAGAGTTCAGAAGTATGTAATGGGATTAGAAATGATTGTGGTAATAAATACTTTGTAAATCAGTAATGAAATGGGTGTTTCAATAATATGTACAAAATTAAGGGGAAAATAGTAGAATTAAAGGAAAAAGACTTCGAGACAAAGGACAAAGGAATTTATCCATCCATCCATCCATCCACTCATATACACACATTCACATACATACATACATACATACATACATACATACATACATACATACATACATACATACATACATACATACATACATACATACATACATACATACATACATACATACATACATACATACATACGTGCGTACGTGCTTGCGTGCGTGCGTGCGTGCGTGTGTACATGCATGCATGCATGCATGCAGGCATACATACATACATACATACATACATACATACATACATACATACATACATACATACATACATACATACATACATACATACATACATACATACATACATACATACATACATACATATATACGTACGTACGTACGTTCATTCATCCATCCATCCATCCATCCATCCATCCATCCATCCATCCATCCATCCATCCATCCATCCATCCATACATACATGCATACATACATACATACATACATACATACATACATACATACATACATACATACATACATACATACATACATATATACGTACGTACGTACGTTCATCCATCCATCCATCCATCCATCCATCCATCCATCCATCCATACATACATACATACATACATACATACATACATACATACATACATACATACATACATACATACATACATACATACATACATACATACATACATTTGTAAAGCAAAAGAAAGAACAATAGAAAGAGACAGAGTGGCAGAAGGCGAGACAAAGATAAATTGAAAGATAAAGTCAAAAAAGTATTTAAAAAATAATTGATTCGTCATTTTATGTATTCACAGTAGAAAGTAATTACAAAGTGACCATATAGACACTGTTAATAATGTATATAATTTATTTCATCGATAATGACAGTAAAACTTGTAGTGGAAATAAATGAAAGTGTTTTTAGTGACATAATAATGTGACTAATCTCTCTATCAGACACAGACATACACACATATACACGCACACACATATAAAGAAAGATTTATAGTGAAAGGTATATACAATGGCACATAGTAAATGAACATAATATACCTAAGCTATAACCCTAATTCATTACGAAATGCTAAGCTTTATTTAATATTAAAATATACTTGTAAACAAAAAGAAAATCCCCATAATAAATAAATAAATAAATAAATAAATAAATAAATAAATAAATAAATAAATAAATAAATAAATAAATAAATGATACGTTGCATTACGTATATATTCAAGAACGATTCACTCAAAGCAATATCATGCATGTAAAGGATCTGGAAATTTCACTAATTATAAAAGTCATTACTGGGTACAGAGTAGAGTAGGAATAGAACTGTACAAACAGATTACTGGATACAGGTGGATTGGGAATTTAACTGTACAAACAAATCACTGGATACAGGTTGTTTGGGAATAGAACTGTACCAACAGATCACTGGATACAGGTGGATTGGGAACTGAACTGTACAAACAGATCACTGGATACAGGTGAATTGGGAATAGAACTGTACAAACAGATCACTGGATAGAGGTGGATTGGGAATAAAACTGTACAAACAGATCACTGGATACAGGTAAATTGGGAATAGAACTGTACAAACAGATCACTGATACAGGTGGATTGGGAATGGAACTGAACAAACAGATCACTGGATACAGGTTGTTTGGGAATAAAACTGTACAAACAGATTTCTGGATATAGGATTGACTGGGAAACCTCTTAACATATCTTTACAAATATGGCAAATCTGTGTATTCTTTATGTTTATCTAATTAAACCGGAATTCTGTAGCAAGTAACTGTTCATTATGCAAATATTGACATTTCGAGGCAGAGGCAATTATAGATAAGTAATGACCAATAAGGTGTCTCTTTAAATATATCAACACGAAATGATAGAATGTATACAAACATAATATATGCCTCACTTTTGCTAAAGAAAATGTAAGACTTCATTGAAAGAAACAATTAAAATTCTGCCTTTTCCTAGAAAAAAAGGACTGAATCTGATAGCTAAAAGAAAAGACTAAATCTGATAACTAAAAGAAAAGACTAAATCTAAAAACTAAACCCTCAGTGGCTTCATATGTTTTATCTCTCCAAAATTAATACAATTGAACTTTGCATTCTAAACGTTGGTTCTTATGTTTATGAAGACAAATAGGAGTTTTCAAATCTATTTCAGTCAGTTTCATTTCATTGTCAGTTAAAGGTTTTAAAAAAATTGATTCCGTAATCTCAGCGAAGATAATAAGACAACACAATCTAGATCCATTTTATACAAGAATAGGGAAATAATTAAAAGTATTTTAAGTCCCTAGTCAATAGTTCCACAAGCTGTCCGTGTAGCTTCTATAACATCCGCTAAATCTTTGAAATGTTATTTTATTTGGATAGATAACATCATTGCCGAGGACGATCTCTAATAAATTTAAACTCTCAATAATATGTAATGAAGGGTATAAATGATATGTCTAAATGTAATGTCAGTCTGATGGTAGGATTAGACATTTACCAGGGCTTAAGATAAAAGCCAAGTAAAATGTAGAGATCACATATGGCCTAAGAGTTCAAAAATTCACAATACAAATTGCAGACTTGATCACATATTGTGACAAAAACCTAGACACAGGCAAGTTTCTGGCTTTTTATGCTAATCTTTACTGCAAACTTCACCCTATATAACATGAATGATTACTCCTTGATTTATCGTGGTTCTTCAAAGGGGCTTTCGTACCGTTCTCCTTCGTTATATACTCCGCTAGACAGTGCGTCTTTCGGATTGTCTCCCCTCTCATCTAAGTCTGTCCTAGATATGTCTGACATTATTTTGGCGCAATGCTCCTGCGCTTTGGCTCGTAGAGAGGCAATACTCTCAGAACGAAGATCCTCTTTATCATTTTTGTCCTCGGTTTTGTCATCGTCGTTTTTGCAATCGTTTTCTCCCAGATTCTGAGCGGCCTCCAGCGACTTCTTATGCATGCCTGGAAAGGATACACAAAACGGTTTCAGCCATTACCGCCGTTGATTCGTTTCCTTCGTTTTCCGCCATTCACGAAACGTAATACATGTACAGAAGATGTTATATAAGTGCTTTATGCAAACCTTGACTGCCCGCCTTGGCGATTAACTTTCTGGGGAATAAGCTAGATTAACGGTTCTACTTATCCCTTTGAGATGCTGCCTTTGTGTGATTAGAAATACAAATAGAATTGCGAAAAGAACTTTAATTTAATTAAAGTCAATACCTAATCGCGAAGAAAATATACAGCATAAAATGGGAAGTTTTAATAGCGTTGTTCCTAAAAGTGGATGGATAAATTTGAATAGTGTCAAACCAAAAACGTTTCCAAGATTTACAGAAAGTTTGTTTATGTTCCCCAAGTTTAAGAATACTAGATTTAACGTTACAATTTGTGCATAAACATCTTCTTAAATATTTATATCATTAAATACAAATATGTGATACAGTTTATCTCTCTCTCTCTCTCTCTCTCTCTCTCTCTCTCTCTCTCATGCAGAATTCTGCATGATTACATCTTTTTATGTCATTATTCATGGAATAGAAATGATTTCGCTTTTTCAGATTTTCTTTGCATGCATTAATTACATACTGTTAATTCAATAAAGTCAGTTTTCCGAGTTACCATTTGTCAAAGAAGATATGATTCCATCTTAGATTAATAGCACCAGAATGTATTTTCAGATTTATCATGGAGACGTGGCTAAAAAAAAATAATTCCTTCCAAATGAATGCCATACACTTATTTTAAGACAGTGTGTATTGCACGGATAATACAATTATTTAAATTGTTTACGTTTAATACAAATATATTAGCATGTAAACATATTTAATGATAAGCACGAACTTCTAGTTTATTGTTCCAAAACATATTTATTAGATCACTGTCTAATGAATAGCCAAACTATTAAAAATAACCTTGCAGGAATGAGTTATGGTGACCATGTCAAGACTGAAGAAAGAAACTCAGTTTTTTCCGCGCTCTCGCGCAAATGTTCATTCTGAGCCCAGCCATACAAATAATAAAGTGTTGGAAGT